CTGGCGTACACCCTTACCAATGAAAGCTAAAATATACATATGGGTTTATAACATTTTGGTCTTAGTTACTCTTACTGGATAGATGATGATCATTGCATTAGATCTGATAAGGAGAAGAACTGTTGATAGGAATATATGATTAGACATTATACAATTTGCATGGCAACATACACATGGAATAGGGGTTGTATTTGCAGGGAGGGCTGGAAGAAGGTAAAGGGGGAAGAAAATGTGCAACAGTAAGAAAAAATTAAATGGAAATATTTTTATTGTTAAAAAAAGTTATTTTTCACCACAACAAGATAAGTAAATAACCCAATTGAAAAATGGGCACAGGATATAAATAGACACTTCACCAAAGAAGACATTCAGGCGGCTAACAAGCACATGAAGAAATGCTCAAAATCCTGATCTCTAAGAGAGATGCAAATCAAAACAACTATGAAATATCATCTCACCTTAATAAAAAGAGAAAAATGTAACAGAGCAGCAAACATCAAATTCTGGTGAAGTTGTGGGGAAACTCGAACCTTTATTCACTGTTGGTGGGAGTGTAAAATGGTGCAACCACTGTGGAAGGCTGTATGGCGCTTTCTCAAAAAGTTGCATATAGAAATACCATTTGACCCAGCAATTCCATTACTGGAAATTTACCCTAAAGAAACCATAACTGCCACCCAAGCAGATACATGCACACCCATGTTTATTGCGGCTTGGTTCACAATAGCAAAGAGCTGGAAAGGAGAAAAAACAGATACATTTGGAAGCTGAGCAACAGTACTTACACATGAGTGAGCAACAGAAGAAATAGAAAAATGAAATAACCAGTTTTTTCAGGCAAATAATAATGAAAACACAAGTTACCAAAACCTCTGGGAAATAGCCAAAACAATGATTATTATTAGAGGTAAATTTCTAGCAATAAAAAGAACACATCAAAAGGGAAGAAAATATAACCGATTCTTTAACCCAACATCTCCAACAAGTTAAAAAAGAATCGCAAGAAAAAGTAACACTCTCTAAAAAAAGTTAGGGCAGAAATAAATTAAATAGAAAATAAAAAAGCAACTGAAACCATCAACAACACCAGGAGTTGGTTCTTCAAAAAGGTCAATAAAATTGACAAACCACTAGCAAAGACTACAAAGGAAAAGAAAATACAGACCCAAATACCCCAAATTAAGAGATGTAAAGGCAATGTCACAACAGAATCAACTAAAATAAAAAGGTTAACACTGGAATGTTGTTGTTGTTGTGGTGTACCCTTGAGTCAGAACTGACCCATAGCTGACCCTTCCTTGGGTTTTCAAACACAGTTAATCACGCAAGAGGAGATTCCCCATCTTTCTCCCACACAGCAGTTGGCAGCCTCAAATTCTGTGCCTTTAGGATTACAGCACAGTTTCTTGCCACTAGGCCACCAGAGTTCCTTAACAATGGAATATTATGAAACGTGTACTCAAACAACTATGAAAACATAGAGGAAATGGACAAATGCTTACAATCTACCTAAAACTCACAATCTACCTAAAATGACATTGACAAAAGTAGAACACCTGAACAAACCCATTACAAAAGAAGAAATTAAATGGGCAATAACAGAGCTTAAAAAAAAAAAAAAGCCCTGGACCAAATGATTTTAGTAGTGAATTTAATCAAGCATTCAGAGAGCTGTCATCAAGTCTACACAAAGTATTTCAGAAAACAGAAAAATACGGAATTCTCCCAGACTTATTATATGAATTGAACATATCTTGATACCAAAATCAGATAAAGACACCACCAAAATAAAAAACTGTAGGCCAATATCTCTCATGAACATAGATGCAAAAATCCTCAATAAAACCTTGGACTAGGGATGATAGAAAGAGAATTAATGCCTTTGAGTTGTGGTGCTGGAGAAGAGTGTTGAATATATCACAGACTGCCTGGAGAACACAGGTTCGTCTTAGAGCTGCTCCTTTTAGGCAAGGATTCTAAGCCTTCGTCAGACATAAATTTGGAATGTTGCAAGGAGGGACCAGTCCTTGGAGAGGGATGTCATGTTTGGAAGTGTGGAGGGATGCAGAAAGAGAGGGAGACTATTGATGAGATGGATTGACTCAGTGACTGGGGTAATTAGGGTAGGTGTGTCAGAGACAGTAAAGTTGACACAGGATAGAGCAGGTGTCATGGCTGTTGTACATAGAATCGCTATGAGTCACAGTGACTTGAAAGCACATAACAACAACAAACAAGACAGAATCCAACAGTACATAAAAAATATAATTCACCATGACCAAGTGGGATTCATAACAAGTATGCAAGGATGGTTCAACATAAGAAAACCAATCAGTGTAATTCATCACATTAACAAAGCAAAGAACAAAAACCATATGGTCCTATCAATTGATGCAGAAAAGGCCTCTGACAAAATCCAACAGCCCTTCCTGACCATAACATTCAACTAAATAGGAATAGATGGGAATTTCCACAACATAGTAAAAAGATACATTTGCAAAACCGCGAGCTAACATCATTCTCAATGGAGAGAAATTTAAGACATTCCCTTTGAGAATAGGATGTAGGCAAGGATGGCCACATCATCTCTCTTAATCAATATTGTATTGGAAGTCTTAGTGATAGGAATAAGACAAGAGAAGGAAATAAGAAGGAGGTAAAATTATATGCAGATGAAATGATAGTATACTTAGAAAACCCTAAAGACTCAGCAAGAAAACTACTGGGCATAGTCAGTTCAGCAAAGTGGCAGGATACAAGATTTAACATACAAAAAGCAACTGGATTTCTCTACAGCAACAGAGAGAATACAGAAATGAAGCTAAGAAAAACAATACCCATCACAATAGCTAACCACAAGATAAAATACTTGGGACTATATCTAACTAGAAACATAAAAGACCTATTCAAAGACAATGACAAAATATTACTACAAGAAAAAAAGGAAAAAAGTGGGAGCTCTGGTGGCCTAGTGGCAAGAAACTGCACTGCAGAGTTATGCGGTTCAAATACACCAGATCTCTGCTGGAGAAGGAGGGACAATCTCCTCCTGTATCAGTCAGATCTGATTTGACAGTACACACACACAAAATAATAATTTTTTTTAAAAAGAACTGTTAAAATAAAATTTTTTAAAAAAAGAAACAAAGACCTGGAGAAATGGAAGAATATACCATGCTCATGGATATGAAAACTCAATATAGTGAAAATGACAATTCTACCAGAAATAACCTACAAGTTAAATGCAAATCTCAATACAAATATCAATTCCATTCTTCAAGGAGACGGAAAAGGCAATCTCTAATTTTATCTGGAATGGAAAGAGATCCTGAATAAGTAAAGCACTCCTGAAAAAGAAAAACAAGGTAGGAGGCATCTTATTCCCTGATCTCAAATTCTACTATATAACTGTGGTGGTCAAGACAGGGTGGTACTGCTACACTGACAGACACATAGATCAATGGAATAGAATTGAGAACCCAGAAATCAGCTCATCTACCTTTGGTCAACTGATTTTTGACAAGGAGATGAAATCAGTTAAGTGGGTAAATGAAAGCCTCCTTAACAAATAGTTTTGGAAAAACTGGAAAACTATTTGTAGAAAACTCAAGCAAGATCCACACCTCACACCATACACCAAAACCAATTCAAAGTGGATCAAGGATTTAGGAGTAAAACCAAGGATTATAAACTTAATCAAAGAAAAGCTTGGGAGAACTCTAGAAGTCCTAATCTACAATATGAACAGTCTTCCAAGTATCTTGAAAAACCTACAGTCAGAAGAGAAAAAAATGAATATGAATCAAAAGAGAATGGGACCTTAAAAATCAAATCAATGAGCATACAAAAAAAAAAAAAACCTTCTCCAATAGGGTAAAAGGAAAACCACAGAATGAGGTAAACAACCCAATCACAAAATGGGTACAGGATATTGTTAGACATTTCACCAAAGAAGACATTCAGATGGCAATCAAACACAGGAAGAAATGTTCAAATTTCTTAACTCTCATAGAGATAAAATCAAAACAACCATGAGATATCATCAAACCCCAGTAACTATAAGTTCAACAGAGTAGCAAATAACAAATGCTGGCAAGGTTGTGGAGAGATTGGAACCCTAATCCACTCCTGTTGGGAGTGTAAAATGGTGCAACCACCAAGGAAGGCAGCATGAAGCTTTCTCAAAAAGTTGGAAATAGAAATACAATTTGGCTCAGCAATTCCACTACTAGGAATATACCCTAAAGAAACCAGAGTTTCCAGTCCATCAGATGTATGCACACCCATGTTTATTGCTGTGTTATTCACAATAGCAAACAGCTGGAAGCAACCGAAATTCCCATTAAGAAGTGCATGGATAGAAAGACTATGGTGTATTTACATAAAGAAATAGTACACAACATTGAGAATCAAGGAACTCATAGAATATTACACAACATGGGTGACCTTTGAGGACATTAGCATGAGTGAAATCTCTCAGTCACAAAAAGACAAATACTGCATAATGTCACTGATCTAAAACAAGACTGACATGGGAATTGGGGGGAAACTAAGAAAAGAGGGGATAAATAATGAACACTGCATTGGAACAGATGAAAAAGAGAACTGTTTAAAAGGAAAATATGATTAGGCATTATTTGTATGGGTAATTCAGAATGCAGTCCAGAATAAGAGGTGCATAGCAGAATCTCCTGTGGAAGGATGAATTGGGAGGAAATTATGTAACAGTGAATATTTTTTTTGAAAGTGAACTGGGGGTGGGTAGGGAGGAAAATGTTCAACAATGAATGAATGAATGAAAATTAACTTTTCTGTAAACTTTCATTAAAATCACAATAAAAAGGGGGGAAGAAACATTGTGTTTCTGATAATGGTGATTGGAAAACTTGGAAAGGGGATATTGGTGATGATTGTACAGTATGTGTGATGTAGTTAGTGTTGAGAAATATATACTTTGAAAATGACTAGTTGGTAGGGAGCTCTGGTGGCCTAGTTGCACTATGAACCCAAAGAACGGTAATTCAAATCTACCAGCTATTCGACAAGAAAAAGAGGCATAATCTCCTGTCATGTGAATTACCGTCTCTGAAAACCCACTGAGGGGTAAGCTGTGAGTCAATTCCA